ATTTTGTGTTTAGAGAGTGGAGAGAGGTAGCCGCTCTCCAATCCTTACAAAAAATAGACTTTGTCCCCTCCCCTCCCTTTCAAGATTATAGAAAACCCTGCTTTATTCCTTTGATATGTTCATATATTTCACTTATATTCCTAAAAACATCAAACTTTGCCCCTAGGGCTTTTCTACACAAAATGTAAGAAATTTTCCTCAAGTATACTTGTCTACTAGCTAGACAGCCTCAAGTTCCGCCTGTGGTTGTAGAACGGAGAGTTGTGGGGCGCGAAAGTAAAGATAAGTGTATTGTTGTAAGGTAATTGTTGTTTGAAGATGACCTTTCAACAACTTTAGAAGAGTGTATAAAACCACTAATTCCATACACCTATAATTGATGCATATATTACTGACGTACATGAATTGCTCAAAAATTTAATTGATGCATGCATGATAGTTTGGCTTGTGCTTTACGAATGTATTGATCTAGTTCATGAACACCGGCTGTTACCAACAAAAAAGAACACAGCCACTAATATTAATTATACCTTGTGATTGACGCATGTATGCAGATTTTTCCAGAAGCGTATTAGCCAGAATGGTTGATTAAATGTGAAAGATCTTGAACTTATGACGATTTACTTACAATCCCTTCCATTTTATCATTCAGTCCAATTAATCCCTCCCCTTAGTCCCCTAATATGAGGTTTATCCTCCTTTTCTCAAACATGTGATTTTTTCTCATAAAAAGTAATCACTGATGGGACGGGTTTGTTCATATTGAAAATGCTGCTGAAGAAACACTTGGAAACAGGAGGGTTTCTCCTTTTCTTTCAATCCTATGATGTTCTTGGCATTATTTGGTTGTCTCACAGGGACGGGGGAAACAAATTGACCTATGATGCTCTTGGCGTTATTTGGGACGGCAACTTTGCACAACGCGGTTGGGATTTGACGGGAAGGGATTCCTTGACACAGGAACCAATAATTTGTTTGGATTTTCAAGTAATATATACGTTGTAATTTTGAGGGTTAATCATGACAACTTCCCCTAAAGTAAGCTTGGTTTGCGGTTTATCCCTTGATGTATTATTTCTCTCTCTCTCTCTCTCTTTATCCTCTTTACTAATGATCAAAGCAAGCTTTTTGTACTGGCGTTAACAGTTCAGCATAGAAAAGTGCTTTATTGTTAAGATTTATTTACTTGTGTTATTAACACATTTTTTAACCATCTTTTTATCTCCCATATATTATATCTAAAAAGCGTTATAATATTTTTTAAAAAAATTATCCCAAATAATCTCTTATTCAAACACACCTGTTTGGATGGCTAAATTTTTTCAAATAATATTTTACTTTAATCATAAATATATTTCTTAATCCATCTTTTCATATTTTTAATCATCTTTTTATTTAATATACACAATATCACATCATAAAAAGTACTACAGTAAGTATTCAAATAATACCTCTATCCAAACACACGGCATGATTCTGGAGCTGGATGAAGGCCAACTCGTCAGTACATGTGGAAAGACCGTTGTTGTATTAATTTGGACTAGCTAGCCCTAGATTGCTTCTCATAATGGAGTGAATTGGTGTCTTTGGCGGAGCCTAAAAGATCAAACCTCCTTGAGTGTAATCGTGGGCTCATTATGCGCCTTAGGGTCTGTATCGGTATCACATTTTGGGCCGCGTAGATAAACATTACTTGGAAAATGTGTGCCGCTGTATTGTATTAAATCTAATGACTAATGGTCCAACATTGGTAGTCTAGTCGAGGATACAAATTTTTTGAAGTAAATCGTGGATTGGAGAAAATAATATGCTTGTGAAAGAACTACGTTCATAAGCAATACGTAAGAACTCCTATAGTTGTAACTGAAAGTGAACTATAATTCCACCCAAAAACTATTCCGCCGTGATGATCGAAATTGAATCCATCAAAACCTTATTTAAAAAAAAAAAAAAAAGAGAAAGTATAATCAATTAGTCACCCATCCATCTTTGCATACGATAATGTATGTTTCGACATCCTGGAATATGATTGTAGAGCTTTCTTAGTGGGACTATGGGAGAGGTGCCGGTATCCCCTGCTGATATTCATGTTTTCTCACCCTCATTGAAGACTCCTTCCTGTAACCCTATTATAGTTGATTTGAAATGATCAATCAGTTGGTACATGAAATCAAATTGAGCTTGTATAAATATATATCTACAAATGGTTGGCTTACAAAGAATCTTCCGGAGGAAATCTTGAATTTCTTTTGCATCTTGACAAACTTTTCGAATGAACCCAACATACATATTAGCTCGCTGAAAGAAGCACAAGACGATTTTCCTGATCTTTAATTTTGCTTCCCTTCTACACTTTGTGTGCTACCAGATAGCAAGTTGGTGTAAAGTCTCCAAGTCTCTCTCTCTCTCTCGTTCCCGTGATAACTGATGCCACATTACAGACGTGATCGAATTGCTTCCACCAATCAAAAGATCAGAACTAGCTCCATGAATAAGGACTCTGACAGCCGAGATTTCTTTGTAGCAGCTAGAAATTGTTTTTTTTGAGGAGACTGCTATTGCCACAGTTAAGAAGCAACACTTTAAATTTATAGTAGAGACTTGAGAGAGTTTTTCTCTGCTTAAGATTCTTGGTAGTGGATACTGATGTCAGAATTCAGGAGCTATTCAACTCCTGTTTGACCGTTTTCACTTTGCAGGCAGGACTGCAGTTATGTGCTTGTTCAGCTTGACTTTTATGCAATGTGAATTTACGGTCAAGGAAGGGGAAAGGCATGTTATAGAATGAAGGAACTGTAGTATTTTGTAAACGTTTGCGGATTCAACAACTTCCCCTTCTCCAGAATTCAACAACTTCCCCTTCTCCGGAATTATCTCATGTCAATGGGCATGATCAATTTGCAAAAGATATTTCTTTCTTCTTTTTTTTTTTTCTCAGATGCCGGGAGTAGCCGGGTTATCAGCCCGACTAATTTCTCTGCAGTTCAAGAGGAGAGGTCCCATCCTCTTGGACACGTTAATCTTGGAACTCGAATCTTGGTGAATGAAATGGACACCGCTTTCTGAGAAGGGTACGTGACCAACCGAACTAACCCGGAGAGACCTGCAAAAGATGTTTCCAGTTGCATTAAACATTTGCAATGACTAGTCCGAAATTCTAGTACACGTTAGTGTTGGACAGAGGGACATCATATGGGCTAATGGGGCTATGATGCTGGGACTTGTGTGCTAAAATATCCTAATTGATTAGTAGGTGTTATATGCCCGTCCAAATTTATTTTTTGTTGATGTTACGATAGAAGGCAGGCTCTCAGAGTATTGGCCAAAATTTCTTCGTGTAAAGTACAATTCAGTAAATCCAAATATTATTTAACAGTTTGACAAGGTGAGGGAGGCTTTGGGGTTCTAATGTCGTACCCATCTGATAAAATATATAGTTCTTGCATTTTCTTGGATTCGGCAAGGGAATCCCATTGGATATCCTTTTCTTTTTTTTTTTTTAAAAAAGAATCTCATTTGAGACTTTGTCAATAAAATGTCATAATATAACAATATGGTTAAGCACTATAATATACATGCTTTAGGTCGGCAAAGGTATAGATGTCCAAACTCCAAAGTAACAAGTTATCGATAGAGCATTTTAAATTCTTAGAAATGGTTGCGCCAACCTAAGCTAAGCTACTTTTTTAGTTTATATTGCCCTTTATGCGCAAAAGCTATATGCTTGGCAGAGTTTCTCCCGATGTTATTATCCATTCATTGCTCACGACTAAAGGCGAATACACATTTTGTTTGCTAATTAACTCCAAAACTAGGAATGAATCTGTAGCATCAACAAACACATCATTTTTCAAAGTATCTGATCTTTTCTATTATTCTTTCTTGAAATAATATATCGGATTCAGGTTCATAAACATGCTAACTAATGCACGATATCTTGTAGCACTCACTTGTGAGACCCCTATCAGATAGTTTTACCCAGAAGAAATCTCTGGCAATTTTTTAGTTTGGTCCAAGTTATTGGAAAAACTTTTAACATTGGTGTAGGGTATGTTTGGAATTTGGATTGCCCTTTTTCTAAAGAAAAATTGTTACAATTTTCCATGAACACATTTTTCAATCACCTTTTTACCTCACATATATCAAATCGTTATAGTAATTTTTTCACAAAAAATCTAGAAAAATGCAATGTAGGTAGAAAATGGCGTAGGCCCGTAGCCTATAGGTAGCCAACATATATAAATATTCATACAACATATAAGAATGCTACTTACTACATAGATTGTTAAAAAATAGGAATCGTTATGCTTAGCATTCAACTTTCGAATTTCAGAAATCAGAAGCAATACATATATATTTCAGTTATGAATAGCACGATTGGTCACATCTGGAAATTATTTATGTGGTCCACTATCTAAGGTGAAATAGTAATTGTGTCACTATGGAATTGCTCATATTACTAAAGCAACGTAAGTATTGCTACTGCACCAAAATTTGGGAAATTAATCTCACATTAGAAGACTAATACGAGTACGTGTGTGTGTGTATATATATATATATAGAGACACACACACACACACAATATATATATATATATATATATATATATATAAAAAGCGTAGATTGAAATTTAGCTTAAAATTCCAATCGAATATTCTTGAAGTTTCTTAATGTTAATTTTGCCTCAAACAACCTTCTCACTTCCGCCAAAGGGGGGAAAAAAAAGAGTAACAACACATGCAGTCTCAATTGCCTATTTGTACAGTATTTTTTTCATATAATTCCAAATGATTGCATACTTCACCAGCTAAGTCGTCTATAAACCACTATCAAAATCCCCATGACACTAACAGCTTCATATCCCAACATACATTCTCTCACACAAACTTCTTTTTGTATTATCTCCTCTTCTTTTCCAAAAGTAAGTTACCCAATCCATCAGAGTCCACTGCAACTGTAATCCGTCTTTCTCCGATCCTTTGGATAAACTAAGATTTAGCATGGCCTCAACTTGCATATCAAACTGTGTGGATGCCAAAGCCCCCGTCAGAGCCACCTATGTAAACCTCTACAAGTGGCCGGAATCCGACGTCGAATTCGTAAGGTCATTGAGCTCTAACGGACGCAAGAATGGCGGCGGCCACGGTGGTGCCGCTGGTCTCATGCATCCTACGGTGGTGGACAGTATTTCGTGTCGACAGTTATATTTAAGAAGCTACACTTTCTCAAGGGATGACGAGTTAAACGTAGCTAAACGTAAGAGAAGTTGTAGAAGATTCAGGGACAGGGTGTCTGCGGCTAACAAAAGAAAGCGAAAGCTAAGAGGCGGTGGTGGCAGCAGCTGTAGTAGCCATGGCTGCGAAGGTGGCGCCGGTGGTAGAAGGAAGAAACGTACGGGGTTTAGAAGGGCCAAGGAAATGTCATGTGTTGCCCTGGCGGCGATTTTCAGGCGGTTGCTTTCTTGCACCACCAAGGTTGATGTGGTTGGTTGATCATTATAAATAATATTTCTTCTTTTTTTCTTTTCTACTTCTGTCTTTGTTGTGCATTTTTCTTATATTTATGTCGATAGAATTAAATGCCGTTTAAATGTTACTATATATTTGAAAAAAAAAAAAAAAAAAGGGTTTGGTGCGTATGTAATCTACTTCTCCCCGTCGGAGTGCATGCCATGATTTATTTCATCACGGTGCTTGTAAAACTTCACATAAACTATGTACTTTTAGTTTTTTGAGTTTTGGAGGTTTTGATAAAAGATTATCTGGTATTTTGACCTTTGAAGGTAATCAAGTTGATATAAATTGATAGATTTTGTAATTTGCTATAACTGCTGGTCACTACCTTATTTTTTTTGGTTGGTGTAAATGGATTTCGATGAATTCAAAGGAAATATTTGTTTATATATGCTTCTATTAGATTGGCATGCACGTAGTCTTTTGCAAGGAAAGAAATTGATAATGATCCGAATATACAAAGCTCAATAGCTTTATTTGTTTTCGCGGGACGAAGGGAAATTGTTTTTCCACCTGGGTGAAGTGAAACTATTCTTGAGCTAACTTTGGAACGAGTCAAGCATGAGAATAATTACCTCCACTAATAAAAATGCATCAGATTTCTTGGAATAGAAGTTGGGAATGTCCCAAAAAGTAACGTGTCTTCATGTTCTACCACTTGATGCCCATTTACCTCTTGGAAGTGCTGTACCTGCCAGGCTGCCACCACCACCTGTATATGCATAGTGGAAGAAATTGACTCGAGTCCATTTCCTATGACCATACTTTTTCCTGCATTAACAATTACTCCTGTAAATGTTTGTAGAATCATATTGTCATTCATAATGAGAAGGAATGATTTCTATATATATATATAGCAAAACATGTAGGCCAATCATCAATTTTTTCTTCTTCTCTTCTCTTTCGTTTTGGGGAAATCAGTTAATTACTTGCTGAAGTTCAGAAATAACCCTGCATAGAGTGTTATGTAACGGAACTGATTGTGAAAATCAAACCTTATCAATTCTACCATAAAGTTGGCAAAAACCACATAAGTCGAAGTATGCAGGACTGAGAATATAGCGTGGCAGCCTCAGCCTGTTGTCGCATCTAAATTAAGCGCTTTGGCTCTCCTCTAACCAGCCAAAAAGAAATAAAGAATGCAGTTTTTTTTTCTTTTTTCCTTACAAAGATGATAATGAAAAGAATTCTTCGAGCTTCTATTTTCTAACTGTCATTTCATATTTCATAGATTGTCGTTTCTTGATCCCTGACAAACACAAAACAACATGTATATCTTACAATATAACCAAAAAAAAAAAAAAAGGACCCGTCTCATAATGCCGACCCGTATATATGCAAAAGGACATTCTATCACGGCAATTGTATATATGCCGACCCGTATCATAATAGCCTTACTCATGACTCATGAGGGTTGTCATTCATTTGAGTAGAGAGCACTTCAAGGAGGAGAAGTAGGCCAAAAGAAAAGGTGCAAAAAGGCAGCAACAAGAAAATTCATCGAGTTGAATCAGTATCCCTATCCTTAATGGAACTTACAATGCACGTTTCGTTGGCTTTATCTTCTGTCTTAGTTTATGTTTCCTGTTTCTGGCTTAGTGGAATTACACACTGTCATGGTTTGTAATGAGTGAGTGCATCATTATCCCCCGCAAATGAAACCACCAATGCCAAATTTTCTAGTTTAGTCTTTGTTTTTTGGTTCCTCAACTTTACAACTTCATAAATCTTTCATCTGAAACTCTGAGGTTTTTATAGAATAGTAATATGATATATATATATGAGGTAAACAAAATAATTAAAACATGCGTAAAAGAAATATTTGAAAAACTTGTCTCGAAACAGTAACAATCCAGACAGGCTCTTATCTCCATCGTTTTAAAAGCCTTATCCCATAAAACATCTAAATTGCAGTCCAACCACCTTCCTATGTCGTACAATTTCATGGACTTTGCCGGACGGATTAATCCATCAGGCTACGTATCTGAGCACTGGTGATCACATGTTCCAATAAATCGAATTCTTTAAGATGCCCATCACAAGGATTTGTGTGCGTGGTGGCGTTTGGTTCTTTAAAAATGGACCTTGCTAGTTGCAGCAGATCAAACTCTATAACGTAGTTCTGTTATTTTTTTTCTTTTTTATGTCATGGGACAAACTCTACGGTGAAGTTTATCAACTCTTTTTCATTTTCCTCCAGTTGTCCACACTGCATTGAACAAGTATTTGAGTGCAGTTATTGGATAGGAAGTCCAAACAAATATTTTTGGAAGCCTATATATTTTTGTATATATATATATACAAAAATAATTGCTGGAACTGATAAAGACAGAAGTATTTTGGACAAGCTTTAGCATTTTGGCCAAACGACAGTAGTGTTCCGTGGCCCAAGAGTTAGCTTGAGCGATCAGTTCCCACTCTTTAGGATATGATAGATTTATCTGGATAATCAGGGTTCGAACCCCTTGCTACCGTGCTCGAAGTGGAGTGAAGTCTCTTCTCCCAAGCGGAGTGAAATTAGTCGGGCCAAAAGCCCGAATACCCGCTCTGTGAGAAAGAAAAAAAAAAAAGACAGTAGTGTACCGTGGCCATGATGTTAACTTTTGACTAAAATGACATGTAATCGGTGGGTAGATTTATTTTCTATTTGCTATAAATCCAACTGTTGCTTACCTGGTCAAGATCTCATAAATCTGAGGTAAATGCTTCGCGTATAATTGCAGGCGAGAATTTGGATGTTCTACATTTTTTTTTTTTAGTTTTTCTTTTAAATTTCTGTTAACCTTCCCCCCTCCCCTAATCCTCTCTCCCATGAATCTGATAGTCAGGTTCGAACCCTAATCTGTTAGACAAAGCATGAAGGCCCAAATTAATTATCCTGACGAGAACACAATTATCATAGCATTGGCTGAATCATTTCATGTTATTATCGACCTGACATGGCAAAATGATTTCATGCAACTCATAGCCTGACCTGCTCGAAAGGATACTCCATGGGACATTATGCCAGTATTCTAGGCAGGTATATAGTGGAGATCATCATGCATATTATTAGAACGGTGAACATTTATATAGCTTTCATTATATTCTTTTCATCTTTTCTTTTTTCGTTGGTTACTCCTCGATACTTTTTGCAAAGTTGGAAAGAGTTGAATCAGAGAAAGTGTATTTTTAATCCGATCAAAAGTCAAAATTCATTTACCTGCCTACCATCGGTCCCAAACAAATAAATCAGGATAAAGGAAGGCAAGGCCATAAGAAAATAAATAAGAATGAAATTATGTGCATGACAGGCTTTTTCTAAAAGGTACCTAAATCAGTAAATCTGATAATTAAAACACTCAAAACTCAAAAGCTATTTCTTGCTGATAAGGAGACTATTATTGCTTGGTTCCTCCAAAGTTAATTGATTTTCTAATTATTAGCCAAAAAAAAAAATTATAGTACTTGTGAAACGAGATTAGTGAGTGCATACAACTTGTTCTAGAGAAAACCCCTATATCATGGAAAAATATATTGGGTTATATATTTTCTAATTCCTCTTATATTATGTTTGGATTGAGATATTTGACGAAAGATTTGAAATCCTCTCAAATCTTTTTCAAGTTGTTGGATTACTTGAGAGTATTTGAGTTTATAATACACATAATTGATAGATTACAAATCAAAATATCTCCAAAATAATCCAAACAATTTAGAGGAATTTGAGAAGAATTTAAAATTTTCACCGAATCTGTTAACACAAACATCTTTCTATATATAAAGCATGAGAAGGGGGCTTGGTGTTAAAATCTTTTTAAGTTGTTGGGTTTCTTGGGAGTATTTGAGTTTGTGATACAAATAATTGATAGATTACAAATCCAAATATCTCCAAAATAATTCAAACAATTTAGAGGAATTTGAGAAGATTTTAACTTTTTGATTGAATCTGTTAATACAAACATCTTTCTATATATAAAGCATGAGAAAGGGGTTTGGTGTTAAAATTTTGTGTCATTTTTTGATTTTTCAATTTTGCCCCTATAAAAAGTAAAGATTTACTAAGGATAACTACTTAATTTAGTAACTTCTAATAACTTCCACACCCAATCACTTCTGTTTGTTTGTTTTTTTTAATTTTTTTTGGTCAAACAAGTCATACAACTTCTTTTTTTTTTTTTGTAAATAAAATAACTCCTATTGATTTTAATAAAAACAACTTAATTATTTTTAAAAAATTTGCACACCCATAGGGTGTCCTCTTCCCACAAGTAGTAATTAAAGTAGAAACCAAGAGAATATTTTAGGGCTCAACATTCAGATGGGCTCCTATATGTGGACTCATTGTGCGGGTTTCTACGAGGATCAGAGGCTGTGATTCATTGGCTTACTTATGGCTGGGGCCTTAAGAAGCTTTGGACATCCTAGATCTTGTTGTCAATCTCCTTAGACCCTCCACATGGCCTGGTCCTACTTGTTTCACGGTGGGTTCTACCGCGGAAGCCTATTATAGCCAGCCCAGGTGTGAGAATGTAGACAGCGTGTTTTGGTTGCATTTCCGGCAAGAGTCTCTAATTTTGCTACTTACACTCTAATCATTTGTTTCATCATATACTTAAACAAATAAAAACTTGTATATAATTAAAATGATAGTGAAGGTGCAATCAACAAAAAAACAAGTGCAAATAACAATTTCCTTGCTATGAAACTAAAACTGTCCAAAAGCAAAAATGACACTGACAGCAAAATCAGTAACTTGTACCGAAGAGAGAGGTTCAAAATCTGATGTTGAGAAGAAGAAAACATTAAAAAGGGTTATGGATTCTGTTAAGGAAATTTAGATCTGAACTTAGCAAATTGAAACTCAAAATGTTAAGGGCTGGCTGACATTAAACTCAAATGCATTTATTGTTATTGGTAAGGGAAAGAAGTTGACGCCTCCCTATCCCTATCATCAAGGCTTCAACAACTGCTGATAAATATTGAAAGCATCCATCATG